AGGTTGTAACTGTTCACTGTTGACTATAAAGACCCCAACAAATAGCACTTAATATAAATAACATTGCCAAGCCATTTTTCCAATTTTACTGACGAATTGTGAGCTTCCTAAAGCAGGGGAAAAAAAAGCTAACAACATTGTGAAATATAGAATGCAGTTATAACAAACAATATATCATCTTGTTACAAAACCTAGAAGCCGCATCCCTAATAATAAGATGGACCTGGGCCTTTAAACAATTAAGAACCAAAAATTTACCATTCCTTGTACAGGTAAATGCTTTAATAGAAGCTGCATTTGTTGCATTGTAACATTTTAATAGAAGCCGGTTTCTAATACAAATTTTACAGTAGTGTATTTTTTTATGAAACCTTTATCAATACAATCTTAAATGCCTCACAGGCATAGCCATGAGCACTGTGGGAAGCCAATTTACTATGTTTACAGTTATCAACATAGACATTGTTAAAATTCCACCAGCAAACAATTCATACCAGTCAATGACTGGAATAACAGTACACTGGCCAGTCACAGGTAAATTTGAATACACCTAATGAATACAAAAAAACCCCACTATTGTATCTCATTAAAGTCTATATACGTTTGTGTCTCCTGTGTATATGAAAGAACAAATCAACAATAGGAGGAACCGATTTCAATACGCCAAACCCTCTGAGGTATTCACTCAACGGGAAACCTCTCAACAGTTCTGCTTTTATTTGGAGACACAATAGTAATACAAGTGCCCTGGAATCTACTGGTCAAATGGTACCCTACAAAGATAACAGTTATCCAAAATAATTTTGTTTCAAAAAATGGCATGATAGAGAGAATTACTCAATGACATAAAAACTGACACGGAAATTTGAGTGTATCTGAAAGGAGTAAAAGTAAATTAACTATTTTAAAAATTTTAATTTTTAATGAGACTGTTACTTTTAATACAGGTGCTATGCTGTAGTATATATTCCTTTCAAAAAATATGTTTTCCTGTCTGTACACTGTGTTTATTAATTCAACTCAAATGTATGTCAAATGCCACTGATGATTAAAAAAAAGACAATAGAGACAGTAGAGGGACACCAGTTCAACATAAATAAGCTATATGTTTGATTATAATTCCACATGGCTTTGTGTTATACGTTTTTTATCACTATAAACTGAATTAATTTCATACTTGAGTGAATTTGTGTCAGAGCAAAGTCAAAACTTGCTGCTTTATATATGTTTAAGCGCTGTTTTGAAAAAAGACAACATTAAACAGTTCTACAACACCACCATATCTTTTTTGCTTTTAAATTCAAACAAGATGCCTGGGGAGAGAGATTCATCAAATATTCACAAACTAAAGAAGAAAACAAGTGGGGCATGTAAATGATGTATTGTGTACAGCTGAAAAAATAAAACACACCACAATACCTGTTCTGATACAGGTGATCTATCCTGAAAAAACAGAGCCAGACATTGCTTTTAGTACATGGTTCACTGGTGAAACCATGCCAAATGCCCTGGCTGGTGGCGAAATACACACATTTCACTGGAGCATCCCTGATGACATGGTTACCTAATAGACGTTAAACAATACTGCATGGCTAGTTCATAGACCAACCTAAAAATCCATTTGTAACATAATTTTGACGCGAGACTTTACGAGTTCAGCTGCAGCAGTAACATATTCATGTATTTTTAATCACATGCATGTTTGTTTATAAAATTAAAATCATGTACATGTATGTTTGGTGTTGAGATATTACACAAGAATAAAGTCATAAATAAATTATTATTTAGGGTTAATTCACAGTGGCAGATCCAGAGGGGGGGCCAGTGGGGCCATGGCCCCCCAAATGCATGACGATTCATATCATCTGGATTACGCATAGCTTCTCTGCGATTTTTGCTCCGTATATCTTAAGCGAAGCTTTCCCCCCCCCCCATACATTTTGCTGGATCCGCCACTGTTAATTCATAAGTATGAAATTATGTTATTTATATCACTTTATAAACATTTTTGCAAAGGACGAAAGGTAGCAACAGAGAGAGGGAAACTTGACCTACCCATACAAGACTTGTCTTTCTAGGTAATGTGAGAATCCCACACTGGGCTTCACTTGTTCCATGGTTATTGGTCCTGTACATGGGAAAACAATAAATCAGTTCAGTTCATAATTGTTGATAATTTAATTTAAATATTTAATCATTTAATAAATGCCCCTTCTATACCCCGAATATAGTTTTGTTCGTACACATTCTCACATTGTATAAAAACTAAACTGTTATACACTAAATTTCTAAATATTTATTGAAATTTAATTATCTCTTTTTTTACCAACAGAAGCGTGCAACATGTTTTTAAAAAGAATGGATTTGTACATACTTAGAAAGTACTTTTGTACATGCTGAGCAGGCGGTCGCCGTCGACGTTGATGTGCCAGAAACTTTTCAACAGAAGAAATTTGAGCTCGTTGAGTCACAACTGCAATATCTGGTTCGACGTTAGCGCTCGGCTGGACATTCAAGGTAACGACGTTCGGAGATGCTGTGGTCCGATTGTTGTTGCCCAACGTTACACACGGCACTTGGGCTTCATCTCCGGTGTCTCGAGGATTCCGTTGCGCTCCTTGTAGCCACCAATCTCCTTGCATGTTGAAAAGTGGGTCTAATTTTACAAACTATTTGAAAATTCATTCAATTTTCCAATTTTTCAACTGTGGGATGCCAACACACGTACTTCGAAGCGGCCATCTTGAAAGTGACAGGACCGGGAGCTTCAAATCGACTTGTCCCATCGCCCAATCATATTTCGAAATTGCCGCCATCGATCAAAACGGGATTATTCTTGTTCTAAAAAAATACATAGATGACATTCGCTTTTTTATTATGATATTTTTTCAATCTTTATTTCTACGTATTTATCGAGCAAAATTAATTAAGTTACGGAAACACAACTGACGGTGAAGCAGACGACTGCGGTTTCCATGGACAACAGGGGAAGCTTATTGCAATATTCGTGCGAGTCGCGATTTCAAAGCAATACCCACAACACCAGTACAAAAAGCAACAAATACCCTCAGGCGGTCTTCGCTTATTCGGTTTTATCCAGGAGCTCCATTGTTTTGTTACTTGTATGTGTAATAGTATGATAAGTGTGCGAGAACTTGACAAATAACCAGGAACAGTGGTAGACTTTATCACAGTGGTGAAGGAATGTTATACTTTCGTTTTTATCCGCGTACGGATTTATTTTTGAGGGTCGGCAAGGAGTATTTTCGTATTAAAGCTGTAATCAATTGTTTTTATTTTCGTAATAATGTAGTTTAAATAAAAACAAACATAATTTCGAGACATGGGCAAGGTGTAAAATGTAATCAGCTATTTTTTTTGTCTGTAATTTGTACAAAGATATTATTTTTTGTAAGCGTATAAATTTCCAATCTTGATTTTCAAACACAACTTTCATTTTATTTCCTGTAAAATGCCGTTTTTATTTCCTGTAACCTGTAAACCATTTTTATATTGCCCGACAGTACTATTTATTGCAAAATAAATAAAATTCTGGGTATTTGCATTCATGAGTAGGCTTCTATCTTAATAACAGCTTAGAAAGAAAGAACTCATGCCTGCTGAGAGAATTTGAGGCACATAAAAGTAAAAATAGGGAATATTTAAAATTAAAAACTCACATATCATGGAGAATAATATACATCTGCAAATTGAGATTAACCTATTAAATTTAACAGTTTCAAATCCTAAACTTACCACTTCTATAGATAGCCCCAGAGCACCTACATGTACTAGTATGTACTGAAATTGATGAAGTTATTGAGATATCTATGGAGAAGCCAAAAATAAGCTAATTTATGCAAATTAGATAATCAATATACACAGATTTCAACCAAAAACCTAAACAGGTCTGTGGAGTATTCCCCGACATATTCAAAAGTTTGATTAAAATCGGATTTCAAGACATTAATGAAAAAATATGAAAATTGGCTGATTATGCAAATGAGGATAATCAGTTGAACTCCAAACTAATCAGGTGCTTCGCAAGGCCCTTGGCACATAAATATAAGTTTCATTGAAATGCAATAACTGATTTTGATACATCAGTAGAATAGCTAAAATTTGCTAACTATGTACATTAGCTAATTAGTATTCACAAATTTCAATCCAAAACCAATCAGGCTTCAGCATTATCCTCAAGCATGTACATATACCAAGTTTTTGTGAACAGCAATAATTGGTTCTAGAAATATTGATGGAAAAGCTGAAAATTACTATGCAAATATTTCAACAGATTAAGTTATTTGTATTGTATCTGGGCACCTATTTTCAAAATTTGTTTGAAATACAATTATTGAATAAAATAAACATACGGAAATGGCAGGGTGTGCTTTGAACAAAGGAGTCAACTATTTATAATGGATGAACCTTTAAAATTAGTCAACAATTACAAGAAATTCTATATACACCTTTTTTTATTTTTTAATTTGATTTCTGCAAAAACAAGTTTCTACAGTAAAATTAATATCATTTTTTTTTTAAAATATTTTTTTGCACCAGGCGACAGTGTCAGACATTTAATGTCACTATTGTTTCTCCCAACTTTTTTTGTATGTGCAAGTTGCAAGTGCTAGTGCTGACACATAGTGCATTTTTGCCACAGCAGTCATATTCATGTTTGGGACTCCATAACAGGGCTGTGCAGCCATCTCTATTAAACGACAATTTTAATGCATTATCCAGGCGTCAACCAGGCTCGGTCAAACACAAGCACCTGCAGACCATAACCAAGGTTCCCCCAACCCAGGGTAGGAATCGACCCTTTTGATGTTTACCCTAAAGTAGGATTTGAACTTGGATCTACCGATCATGAGTCTGATGCGATAACTACTATACTGCCAGTGACCGGTAATTTAATTTTTATAAAAGCTGTTCATTCCTTCATGAAATGGAGAGTACAGTGAATTTCATGAAGGCACGAATGTTTTTGTACGACTCCTTGATTTAACTGCAACATTTGATCATATCTGGTTTGATACTTCAAGATTGTAGTCGTTACTCGGGTAGTATTGAAAGAGATGCAGTTTACATGACAGGTATTTTGATTAGTTAACTAGGAAACCAAGATGACCTCCCATGTCCACAAAACTATATATTTTCGGAAAGCTTATTGTATGAATTTTAAAATTTTGTTAGTATTTTTTTGTTATGGACACTGTAGTTTGAAATATGCACAAAAATTGCTTTTTTGGTCAAAAGTGATTTAAAAAAAATAGCTTCTAAACCATGCTTCTGTTTTCTGTCAAAATTGGTTTACTATGAAGAAAGTGCCGTCTTGAAAACTGTTTACCAGTTGTCAATTTTGCAGGGCAGCAGCTCAAATTTGCATAACAATTCACTCAGTAAGAAGTTTGCAAATGCTCATAATTAAAATGGCTGTAACAATTCCAAATTTAAATATATTATCATTTTGTAAAAAGTTAAATATAGTGCATAATATGGAGATCCAGTCATTACTTTTTTCTACCATGTTTCTTTTTTATTATTTATGTACAGCCTTGCTAAATCTTGCTAAGCATTCAAAAGAGAATGTTTGCACCTGTTATCTATATTTTAAAATAGTCTTTTGAGTATGTTCCACTATTCACATTTCTACAAAATTTTGTAGTCTACAAGACTATAGCCAAGACTGGAAAATAAAAAGCAAAAATAAAAATTCACTCCCAAGTGCCCACGAACCTGCATCTCTACCTTAACTGTACTAAATATGTTCACTTTGAAATATAAGCCAACATTCACTTTTCTTTTGTAGAATTTTGATTTTTTAGTGTTCCATTTTTTCCTACGAAGACCAACAGCATAAACATTACGAGAGAATAGAACACAGACTATTTGAGGTGTAAAAACAGGTTTTGTGGCTCTTATTTTCAATAAGATCTAGGCAACTATTTGCACAAGTCTTAATTTTGGGCATTTTTATTCACAGAAGGTGCATTTCACAGTATAATATCAAGGCGGAGAAACAGAATGAATATGCACATTTCTATTTATTCCAATATATAAAATAAAAGAGTTCAGTTTGCATATTAAAGACAATCTACTAAATATGTATTTAAACAATCCTTTCAGCCATATATAGTAATAGTAAAGCACATCTAATACAAAGCTTGCATTTGCTGTTATGCTAATAAGCTCCTAACAGGCTCATTAAAACTGGAGTGAATTTAGGAATTACATTGTATCAGACATTGACAACCATCAAATTGAACCGAATAAGTACAGAATTGTTTCAAAAACGAAAGTACTAGTCAGAAAAGTGCATCAAAATCTACTTTGTTATGGTTTAATTTCAATTAGGCAACAGGCTTGCTTGTTCACTAATTCTTATTCAGGTGCAGCCAAGAAACCTTACCCAGGCACCTTTTGTTATACTATTTTTTTTTCATTATATTCAAGTAGCATAAAGGCAATTCAGGGTGATTACATGACCAGAGATCTACAAAATAATATATACCATAATACTTCCATTACATTAGACGTTAATAAATAAGAATTTCTGGAGATAAGGATGAAAGACTACAAAATATGTACTTGCACATGTTTTATTTTCTCTCAAGGTGGATTGTAGCATCTGACACGGCCAAGACCAAAGAAAATAAATTACTGTAAAATGACTAATTTTCACTGGGTTTAAATTTCACTGATTTACCATTTCAGGCATATTCAGTGGGTTTTAAATTCACGGTTTCGTCATTTAGATAATGTGTTCTATGCTAAATTTTACATATTCACTGGGTTTTAATTTAGCGCATTTTCCAGTCAGCGAAATAAGCTAAATTAAAACCCAGTGAATAATTACCCCCTTTACAGTACTGTATAAGCAAAAACTGGTGATATAACTAATAGAAGAGTCCAATTAACAAGATTACCATATGGTACATACAATATATCAAGCAGTGTATCACTTTATCAACATACTGTATAAATAGCAATCTATTTTGATAGATTGATTTCCATGTTGTTTTCACAGCATCAAGATACACCATGTAAAACACCTGAACCTGCAATACATACTGTAATCTACCACTACAAAGTGAACATATTGTTCAAATTTTAATTGAAGAATCTCAAGCCACTCTTCACCATGTTGAGCATCACACAAAACACCCACTATTTAGCCTTTAGTTCTGATGGATAAGAATATACTACAAGCTCAGCACATCTATAATGACAACAAAACTTGTACATAAACTGATTGGCTAAGAATCTTTGAATGCCACATTTATTTTAAACAATTTCCCCATTTGCTTAAGGTCTTAGCAAATTTGTTTGGAAAATCTGGGAACAAAAATTCTGATTTATTTTGTGAAAGATGACTTTCTGCACTAAGGATTGAAGAAAAAAACATTATCCTAATTCGGCTAGCTCCCAGCTGTTGAATTGTAAGCAGTATCAATTGAATGTTTTGGGAAGACAGTGTGCCCTCCAAGTTGGCATCTCACAGAGATGCACATTTTTTTTCATGACAACTGAATTGTGCCAATTCCCTAGTGTTTCGGAAAATTTGAAAACTGGTTTAATGATCTAGAAAAAAATTTTGAAAAATGAAATTTATTGTGCATGAACAAAATGAGCATACAAACTAAGGAAATCATGGGATACAATCTTTATTTTTTTTTCTTGATCTCTCGACTAGTCAAGAAAGCTAACAAC